ATGCCTGCCTTTAAAGGGGGGGTTTGGGATTTTGGCATTTTGGGGGATATTTTGTTACTCTTACGTATATGCTTCTAAATTTATATTTGACCCCTCTGCAAAAGCAGTGAAGTGTGAGTGTGGTAAAAGTGTTGAATGATGATTTTATTTTTCTTTTTGGGATTTTCTTTCTTTTTTTTTTTTTGGGTCCCCTGCCTCGGGGGAGACCCCCGACTTGTTGAAGAAAAAAAAAAAAAAAAAAAAAATAAAAAAAAAAAAATATTTTTATATATTTTTTTATTTTTATAATTATATTATATTTATATTATATTATTTAATATTAGTTTAGCAGCACCAAAAATATAATGGCAATACAATTTGAAGTAATACATCGCGTTTTAATTCTAAAACCCAAAAAATGGTCCCCCAAAAAAAAGAGAGTACAGACTTCATACGGAAGCTTTTTCTTCTGCATCAAAATATGAGAGCATTGGTAGTCCTTCTCCTCAAAACATTAAACCTTTTAGTTTTGATATAAACTCAACTGCCTTGTAAAATCTATATTTTTTTCGTTTTTAGGCAAAAATAATCTTTTTTTATTCTGCCTTTGTAATGATTATATAATTTTCTTTAATGCAAAAGGCAGAAAAAATGGTTTTCTGAATTATTTAAAAAGATTTTCTCTGGAAATTTGACAGAAGTATTTTTTCTATGATGATTAATAGAAAACATTAACGTATCTCCAGGTTGGCAAAAAATACAAAAGGAAATTTCCTGAGAATTTCCTTTTTGTTTTTTAGCTAGAGAATATACTGTAGTAACAATAAAAAAAATAATTTTTTTTTGTAACTGAAGAACAAAAAAAAAAATTAAATTAAATCTATAAATCTTTAGCACTTTTAAACAACAGATTATGTATAAAGTATCCACAACCCCAAAGGGCTTTCACCGCAGCAGCAGAATTTTTTTGAAACCCATTCCCCTTTAAAATTTAAAAAATATTTCATTTTGGTATGGCTTTTAAACGGGGAAATTTTTTCCCCCTTACAAGGGTAAATGCCAAAGGGGTAAAAAAAAAAAAATTTTGTGAAAAATTAAAACTTTTTTAATTTGTGGGAAAAAATCCATACACAATTTTCACCCTGTAAATTTTTTTTTATTAAAAGACTAATTCTAATAAATACATAAAAAATAAAATTATATGAAATTATATCATATCTGAAAAAATCCCATGATATGCATGTACATAACATCTGCACCCCCGACCAACCCGATCATTGCGAGAACATGTCCCTTTTGGAAATCATGGGGAAAAGGGGACCCGGAAAAATACGCTGTTTTTTTGCCAATCAATGGAGGATGGTAAAAACGAAATCTTACCCCGTTGCACTGTTGCGGATAAAGTACGGCATATAACTTTGCCCCCACCTCTTCCCTGGGGGACGTACGGACTTTTTTTCGATTGGATCGTTGGACCTGAACGGGAGCTGCTCGATGACCCGGATGGTGAATTTGCAAAAGGCCCCCGTCACGCGGGTTTTGAAAGGGAAATTTCGACAAACCTCCCTCTCCCCCCCTCGATGACAGCTTATCACACGGCCCTGCCCCTCCCCTTTTTTTCTTTCCCGGCCTTTCTTCGGAAATTTGGGTCACTTCTTTGATTGGAGTCTGCTTTTTTCACATCCTTTCCAGTTTTCTTGGGATCTTTCTGCACATTGCCCCCCTTCGAAGCAGCCTTATCGTCCTTTTTATGATCTTTATCTACTGTTATTAGTTCCTTCTCTGTTTTAAGAACAGGAGCAGTTACTGGCACCTTCTTCTGCTCCTCTCCTTTCGGTACTTGTTTAGTGGCCATTGCGCTGGAAGCAGAGGGATGACCAACTTAGCCACACTTGCTATCACTGTGGACAAGCCCAGGAAAACAACTATGTATAGGTAAACCTCTCCCCACACACTGCACATCACCAATTCATCTGAAAATGACAAGCCCATGGAGATGAAGGGGGGCCTCTATAGAGGTAACACCATTTTGCAACACCAAAGCTATGTCTGTTTTTACTGCAACCCAGGAAGAATACAAATGTTCTAAAACACATTTAAGAATTATGATCGAAACAACTACAAGCCAATAGAATATAGAGCTTTCAAAAATTTGCCAGAAATATAAGAAAGGAAAATACATCTGATCCAAATGTGCTAAAAACTTAGAGTAACAATGCATCTTCTTGAGAAAGCTAAAATCATTGGCTGAAAGTGAACCTTCAAATAAAAGAGAAGAAATAATTAAGGCATTATAATGCATAATTTTTGTTACCATCAACAAAATGTCTTGCATTGTCCTTAGTTCGAACTATTTTTAAACATCGACAGTAAGTTAAAATGGGCTTTTAAGTATATCATTCCTGGGAGCAGTATGTTTATTGAGCCTTGCATTCAAAGTATGCTGAGGACTTAAGGGCAAGACCTACTAAGAAGTAATATAGAACTTACAATATGTACTGTGTATACATATGTAAAATTGGGATTTTTTTTTTTTAACCAACCTCTTAAAAGACCCCCCTAACCTCCAGGTGTCTCCATCTGAACCTTGCATGGACTTGTGTCAAAAAAATATACACAACCAGATGGGGGAAGTTCATCAAGAGCAGTAGACAGGTAGTTTTCCCCAGTTGCAGCAGCAGACTTCTTCAGCAGCAGCAGTTTTGGCATCAATGTTGGCAACAGCAGCAGCAGCAGCAGCCAGCAGCAAAGACTATTTTCAAGACCAACAATACACAGCTTCTGCTGAAAGAGCAGCAACAAACAGCATCAGCTTTAACAGTAGCAACGGAGCAGCCATGGTAGCAACCTCATGTGGAGCAGCTACATCAGGAATATGCAGGTCTGCTGATTTCACCTGCTTGGTGCACTGCAGATAATAGCAAAGGCAGAAGCTAAGGACCAGCTGCAGGGTTGTCTCCTCTCTTTTTTCCATGAACTGTAAGTGAAACTTCCAGAAAAGGTAATAAAAAAAATGTTCAATTATTAAAGAGGTAGATTACACACCAAAATTGAAAGTCACACACATTCAGTAATTTCCAACCATCCCCACAACTTACATTAAGCCCATTCTGGAGTATGAGAGTGCCAGCATAAAAGCCACATCTAATCAAGCATACAGTATAAAGAAACAAGAAAAAAATCCAAAGATCTGCAACAAGATTAGTATCAGAGAAAAAAAAAAAAAATGACAAGACACTAAATGAACATAACTTAGCAACATTATGTTAATAGTCTGCAATACCAACAAGTAGCTGAGTAAGGCATATGCCAGAGTTTGGTATCCTTACTGACAAGACTCTTTGCCTGCTCAGCCGGTTTCTTCATTTGAAATACAGTAGAGCCCCGCTTTACAGCGTTCTGCTAATACAGCGACTTCAAATTATGTATGGCCAAAATTTGCTATACGGCAAGTGGTTTTTCAAATATGACACACCCCACCCAGTATGTTTACATTCTCCATGAGCACATCTCTCTATTATGCCTGGAAATTTTCCAGAATTTCAAGTGTTTTAAAGTTACTGCATATTTTATATATACTTTGATAATTATACTTATGTGTACCTGTACCTAAACATACTTACACACTGCTGGCATGCAGGTACACATTGAAATCACTAAGAGTCTTTCTACTCAATGCCATATACATGTAATAATCTCTTGGATGCATTAAATGTTGTATATTACGTTAATATAGACATTTCCATTAATCCAGCTATGATATTTTTTTTCAAAATTATATAATAAACATGCTACATAATATATAAACATGATAAATATACCCACAGTACAATAAATTAACATAAATTATGAGATGTTTTTTCTAGTCGGCTTGCAGAGTGAACTATAACCAATGTGTCCGGCTGGTTTGTTTACATAATTCGCGCTGTCTTCTCTCATGTACTCATTCCCTCTCTCTCTCGTTTATTTGTTTAATCTCATTTACTCACTTCTCCCCCCACATTTAAGACTACAAATATTTAAAGGTAAGTAATGAGTGTACTGTATATGCATTTTATCACTCTAGGGAACTTTAAATGCCTAGTATTTAATGTGTGGGTGGGGTTGCCAGAGGGGGTTACGATACTTAAAACACTATTCAACCTACCACACCTAACTTCTTACAATAAACACTACTCACTTCTCACCCTACATTAAGACTACAAATATTCTGAGGTAAGTAATGAGTGTACTGTGTGTGTGTCTTTTACTTTTTATTGTTTTTTAATCATTGTTCTATTGCTAACTTAATATATAATACATAGTGTAGACTTATTATCTGACATTTGTGTTTACCTGGAGTTTACCTGGAGAGAGTTTCGGGGGTCAACGCCCCCGCGGCCCGGTCTGTGACCAGGCCTCCTGGTGGATCAACGCCTGATCAACCAGGCTGTTGCTGCTGGCTGCACGCAAACCAACGTACGAGCCACAGCCCGGCTGATCAGGAACTGACTTTAGGTGCTTGTCCAGTGCCAGCTTGAAGACTGCCAGGGGTCTGTTGGTAATCCCCCTTATGTGTGCTGGGAGGCGTGTGGAAACAAATGGCGTTCTGCTTTCCCGCGATGTCTGCTTTCCGGCAGTGGCCTGGGACCTAACCTGCCGTATAAGTGGGGCTCCACTGTAGACACAACAGTAGTGGAGACGTAGATATGAGGAAATCAGTCACTCAGCCTGGAGAAGTCAAGACTTAGGTGGCCAGTCCCTCAACCTTAGTGTGTTCAGCTCTATAGCTTCAATGAATTCAAAGCTATAGAGCTGAATGGAATCCTCACTTCCACAACTCACCTCTGGCAGTATAAAATGTTGCTTTCTCATGCCTCAGCTTCACATTTATTGAAGCTATGGAACTTCACACACAGCAAGGCTGAGACTAATCACCTCAAACTTACTACTGAAGGCTGAGGGGGCTGATCACATCATATCTACATCTTCACTACTTCTATTGTTTCTTCTTGATTTAGATTGAAGAAGCTTGCTGAGCTAGCAAAAGATCTCGGCAATAAAGACACTAAACTGTTGAAAGTATCTTACTCGTAACCTTACAACACTAGAAGGAATGAGGACCAGGCAATCATGATCATGGAGACATATGGAGAGGGGTGCCAGGGGGACACAGACAGACACTAGATGCAAAGAAGCCACAGGAATATTTGGAAATACAGCAAGTTTTAGTCTCAGGGTGGCAAGTAACTGGAATAATAATAAAAATCTATATTTCTACAAGTACATGTTACAACTTGTACAAATGTAGCTGACATCAATGACATACTATGAAGAAAGCCCCTGGTTATGCAGAGCATTCCGGGCAACTTAGGTTCATTTTGTCCCCAGGATGCAACCCACACCAGTTCACTGCTAGGTGAACAGGGACAGCAGGCATCATAAGGAAACATATCAATGTTTCCACCCATACCAGGGATCAAACCACAAACACTCAATGTGTGAACTGAGTGCGCTACCAACTGAGCTATGGTACAACATAAATGAAGAGTCAAAAGGCTAAAACCATATGCAGTTTCAAGAGCAAATAGGTACAATCAAGCACTGGATACCAGTGATTAGCCAAAAGGCTAATCAAGGCGAGTATGTCATTGGAAATACAGTAGTACCTTCAGGAGCTGCAAAACTTGTAACTATAACAGAGAAAGCAAAGCTGAAGGAGCAGTCACAATCTATTTTACTGCTATTTCTTGAAGGAAATAAAAAGCTTATCATAGGTATGGTATAATACAGACTCTTTGGAACAAAACTGTAACCAGTTCTAAACATGCTAATGAAGATTTGATGGACAATTCATATTCAGCAAACTGTCTGTATTCTGACAGAAAATAAATCTTATGATTTCCTAGAGTCTACGACTGCTTTTTAAAACAGACTGTAGCAGAACCAACTACAAAGATAAACGGTTTGACCCAATTCTGAAAGAAAAAGACACTAACAATGAATAGCTAAGAAAATGCAATCATAAAAATTAATATTTCCTGGAAACACAAAAATAAAGATAATGCAGGTAAGGTTCCAGCTTGTTTTGGCAGGTGTAATTTGACACAGGATTATTGCACGAAAGCCGGACGAACAGTACTGAAGAAAGTTGCCAATATATTTTCCGGAGCCTTGTTTAAGTTGCCCCAAAACATCTATTATATGCCTCCTAGAAAAACGTGATCAAAGAGTATTAACCCCACGGTGAATAAACAGAAAGCAAAAATACCTTTTCAAGAAGTCTAAGAATAAGGGAAAGAATAAGTCCACTTAAAAGTAATTCATGTCAGCTTACTGCTAATGGCAAAGAAACATGAAATCCAACAAAATAATTAGACACAAAAGCAATAGAAAATATAATCAAACAAGTCATTGAGCCCTGATGGAGTGTTTGCAAGGGATCTCGACACAAGTAAAGAAGAACCTAGTAAACCAATGTTGCTAATGAATTGTTATAACAGAACAGTGTGCCAGAAGTGTGAAAGGAAGCTGATGTAATGCATACCTCTTTACCGTACATTAATATAGTCATGGAAAATAAATTATATAATTATATAAAGACCAAAATGGTTATTCAGAACTTCATGGGAGATGAAAGATTGGGGTAGGGAATGACAGGGGGGTTTGTCAAGGTAGAACATCAGCTGTAAGTATGAGGAAAGGGGAATTGGGAATACAGGTGATGCAGGAAATCAGTCACAAAACAAAAACAAAAAATCTTAAATTGCAGCAGCAGAAATTAAGTAAGCATGTCAGAGCAATATGGAGTCTGAAATATAGCCAGTTAGCACTTTGGTGGAAGGAGAGTGATCACAAGATGATAGATGAACTGACAATT